TCTTCCAAGTCTCTAAAGCAAAGACCCATTTGCCGCTATGAGCTTTTAAAAAGTCACCTTTTCCGATGACTCTCTTAAGAGGCATTCATTATCGCGAAAAGGGGCTGTTTTATGGCTACGCGCTTAAAAAATTAATTCCTTTGTGGACACATAATCTGTTTTTCGGTCCTATCTTAGTCCACGCCATTCATTTATGGGATAGGTAGGCGGGTTTTAGCTAAGGGATTAAAAGTCATTTCTTTACAGAAAGAGCAACCGCTTCATGTTCGGCTACGCTCTTAGAAAGTCTTTTTTTTTTTTTTTTTTAATGAGAAAATGATGCCATGTTTCTGCTACGCAATTATAAGACGTTCCTTTTTTTAGAGCTAGGCAGAATTTTCCACACCTACCATCTCCACATCCAGCAGGTGCTGGCTGAGCACAGCCCCAGAAGTAGGGCGGGAAGGAAGGGCGGGGAGGCGAGCGTCAGGCGGAACTGCACGGGGGACCCTGCGCGCTCCGTGGCGCGCTGCGCTCTCCTCTCTGCGCCGAGGGTCGGACACCCAAGGATTAGAGCCAGCCTGGCACGGATCCAGATCCGAAGACCCCAGAGATGGGAGCGCAGCGGGGCCGAACCGCCCTAGAAGTCCGAGCCGGGCTCTGGGCTCCGGCCTTTGCCCCTCTGCTCAGACCGCTTCGCCTGGCTAACCCGAGAATCCGGAGTGTGATCTTTTCCCAGCCCCTGCCGCAATCTGAAGAGTTTCTCTCAGCTTCTCAGAAGCTGGCTGTATCTGTTAAAGTGAAAGACCTTTTTGCACAGCCAATGTTGGGGAAATTCATGCGCGGACACTTTTCTGACAGAAGTGAGTTTTTGCAAAGTAACCAAGCCAAGCCAACTGGTGGTTGTGCCAAAAAGATATTCTAGCCGCACTGACCTCCGGGGTTTGCTCTTTCTCTTATCTCCAGGGAAGAGATGGGGGAAGGGAAGACACAGGAAGCGTCTCTAAAATCACTCTGTGGTCCTAGTCAAAGACCCCAAGAGCAGGCAGCCGGAAGCCTCCGCGCAGTAAGTGCGGGACTCACGCTTCCCACGCCGCACTCTGTTCTGGCACCCGGACCGGATACTTACCTTATTGTCCAAGCCACTAGAGTAGAAATGAGGTGGTAAGTAAAAAAGAGAAAAGGCTTCCGTTAGCCCCACGGAGACTGCGACTGCTGTAGCGGGGCTCTGCCGCCACAGCTCGCAGTCCGCGGAGCAGTTGGAGTCGCGAAGGCTTCCTTTGAGGCTGTTTGGGCCGCCCGGGTTGCCTGGGCTGCCTGTGTCGCCGCTGCCAGTGCCACTCTGCGCACTCTGTTCAACTGCCTTTTTGCTTTGCCGCGCGGGCCGCTGCGTGCAGCTCGAGCTCACGGCTCCTCCCGCCCTGACAGTTCGCCGACTGCAAGGAGCCAGTGCCGAGCCAGCCCTTTTCAATGGCGAGTGGGAGGGACTCGATAGAGGGGGAGAAGGGGGAAGGAAGGGGGGTGAGCGAGTGGAAGGCTGGTGGGGGGAGAGAAGTGAACCAGTGCCCTGACCGCCTGCTGGGAGGGGGTGGCGCAGCACCAACTGCTGGGTACCCCCCTCTGGTCCCCACTCCCTGCACCCCACATCCCCCACGGCTCCGGGGGCGGCCCCTCCAGGCTAACGGGGAGCCGGGGAAGAAGAGCGGGGGAGAAATGGAGGTAAGCTTAGGAAGTTACTGTTCGCCACCCCAAGAAGGCGGCAGGAAGCGCGCTGGAGGCACCCTCGAGTGCGGGACCCGCTGCTGGGAAAAACGCGCCGCTTTAGGGCTTCCCGCTTTGCGGAGCAAAACCAAGGGCGTATTCCTCTCTGCTCGGTCCTCCGCTCTCTGCTCTCTTAGGCTTCCCTTTAAGTTGAACTCATTCGAATTATCTTATGGAAGTTTTATTTTTCTTGCTCTGTGTGCTTTTCTAGCGATCCCGCTGACCGCCCTGACTCCGGCTAGAGAACAAGCGTCCAGCAGCAGCATTTTCTATACAAAGGATACTTAAGGCAGACTAGTGGAAGTAGGGGCAGGAGCCCGGCAAAGCCGCAGTTGGAGCCGAGACTATGTCTTCATATATCACACTCAACTGTGAGCCGGGTCTGGTACCTCGATTGCCTTCAGATTGATTGGGGGTGGCGGAGAGGGAGGTGAGGGGGGAGATCTAGCATTTGGCTACTCCAGATTGCAAGTACGAGTGAGCGTAAGCAGGTCGGTGGCTTTGGGCTGCTTTAGTGGGGTCCAGCCGCTTCGCTGCCGGGGACGGGGCAGCATCGCGGGCGTAGACAGCGCGTTTCAGCGGTAGGAAAGGATGCAGGAGAGGGAGGAACCCAGCCGCAAGACTGCTGCTTGGAAGCGCGCTCCAGCTGCCTAGTCGGTGACGCCCGGGCGGGCATCGGGGTGTCAGGTCTTCCAAGACCACTAAAGCGACCAGGGGCAATCTGGCTGGTTTATGGGTCGGATGGATCGTGGGTATCTAGAAGCAGGGCTAATTCCCCCGTCCCTGTTATGGGATTAAAAGCAAATAGCAACAACAACCAAAATCTCCCCAGCGGTTCTACTCTGATTCTTGCTCCAAGGAGCAAGTCCTTAAATTTACCCAGAGGCTGGAGAATGAACCAGGTGAATTCTTTAAATTCCTCTCCAGAAAGGTGTAGGGTTTTAGGTTTAGGTTTTAGCATCCATTTTCCATGCTTAACCAGTAGAAAAACTTATCTTTCGAGTGCTCTGCTTTGTTTTTGGAAGGAGGAAGCTCTCTTTACTGAAATAAAGGGGGGGAAAGTAGATAATGTTTTCAGGCGCCAAGAGCACAATATTCATTGTTTTTTCTTGTCTACTGAATGGAAGGGGGAATGCATCTGCATAGGGATAGAACATCAGGAAGGAAAAAATTTGCCAATTATCATGAGTTGATTTTATCTAATAGTTTCTTCATGGAAAGTTATTATTATTTTTTTATTGAAGGGAAAATCTTTCTGACTTCTTTACCTAGTATGTCCTCTCCATCTTTGTAACTGCCTTCTTTCCAATTCCTGACAGTTTTAAAGGTTAAAACCCTGGTTCAGATAATCCTCATATCCCCCCCCCCCGCTTTTTGTTCCTCTTGGCTTTTTTCTTCTTTTTCTTTCTTTCTTTTTTCTTTTTTTTTCACACCTACAGCCACTACTGGGAGGGACATTAGCACCACAGTTCAGTGCAGTCTGCATGAAAGAGGACACAGGAAGTGTTTACTATTACATTTTACTCCTCCTGTAACTCTGCCTGCATTATTCACAGTATCCAGCCCATGTATTGTCCGCTTCTCGGGACCTGGGAGATGTCTTGGAGTTGAAATTAGAAGCTGTCAAATGGTTACAGTTTACAGCTCTGACTCTTGGGGTTTGCACTGCTGGATGAGACTCAGTCATAGGTGATGGCAGGAACTCAATGAAAATAAAATCAGTGATTGATCCAGGAAAGTGTGGCAAAGCCATGCTGTGGAGGCATTCTCAGAGCACTAATAATCATTCATAACATCCACATTAGATATCAGTCAATTGATTAATTTCCATCTAAACCCAAGGCAGGGGGAGAGAACTATTCAGTGACTCTTATGAAGTATTTAAAGTTATCATCATGACAGTCTCATGAGGTTAATATTATTATCCACATTTTACAGTTCCTGAAACTGAAGATCACAGACAGGTAATTTGTACAAGACCATGGAGCTGAAAAGTAGCAGACTCTGGATTTTCATTCAGAGTGTGAAACTCCAAAATGCAGCTAAATGGTTGCTTTATAGTGAATCTGGATTCTTCTATATATAGAGCACAACATTTAGTTTTACGTGTCTAGTCCAATAGAAAATGATCTCTGTAGAGTAGCAACATTACTTACAGACTAAGGAGACTATTAGTTGAACTAAGTAACCCAGAAAATCATCTGAGAAATTGTTTGTTGATAAAAGTGACAGAAATCCACATCTGAAAACAATGGAAAAAATGTTCCCATTTTCTTTTCTCCTGTTCTGTCTGATGGTGGCACCAATGAGCAACGGAATAACCAAAAGCCAGGACACCTGGCAAAAGCCCTCTGCTTGGTGCTCTAACTCTAAAAGGACTGATGAGGACTCTACTTGCTTACAGAGAGGACTCCTTGACTGAATGCCTCTTATGCACCATTTGCATTATATACATTGTCCTATTAATCTTCAAAACCACCCTATGAGATAGGTATTATTAGCTTCATTATTTTTTAACAAATGAGGAAACAAAGATTCACAGAGACTAGGTAAAATGCCCACGGGTTTATAGGTATAAAGTATAGAGTTGGGAAATTCAAACCCATGTCATTTCCAGTCCACTATGCTGACCCTTAGCATATGGTCCTCAGATTGTGTGATTACACATTTTCAGAATTTACATTACGTCAAAAATTTTATAATTAACAAAAGGAAACTTTAGGAATTTGTTTTTTGGAGGAGATGCCATGAAGGAACTGTTATATTTATTGCATTTGTTTGTTCAGTGTTCCAATTTGGAACTTGAACCAGGGTTCTACTAAGATCACAAAAAAAAATTATGGTAATGTGTACCCTATAAACATAGAAATATGTGCAATATCTGAGGATTAAACTATAAAGCCATTGTATAATTATAGAATGGCTTATACAAGATAATTAAAATACTTCGAGTTAGGATGTTTTTCAGGCCAGTGAGAATTGACTAAAACTGAGAAATAATGTGTTAATCTGAAGAAAGGCTTGATCAGCTATGCAGACCTAGTAAAAGAAGTCCCAAAGAGATGAGCATTGATAACTCTTATCCATGTACATTTTCGTCTCACTGGCAAAAACCACCCTTGATATGAGATTGATGAAGCTAATCAAATACTCTGATTTCAGTTGCCTTTGCATTGAAACACCCCTTATCAAGCAGCCTGCCATCTGACTGTGATCTGCCTTCCCATGTACACTGTCTAGAGAGAGAATGCACAGGTCTTGCGGATGGATGAGAATGACTACTATGCATCATGTGCTGGTTATTTTACATCAAATTCCATCATCTTTGTCCACAACAGCTTGTACCTATATTGCACGTAAATGTTATAATCAGTAAATTGTCACTGTTACTGAGAAAGTAGGTGAGTGTATGGACACAAAACTGTAAGAATGTATAAATTACATTCTCCATGATATTGTTCATATTTAATGTTAACTATTGACAACGATTGGAATTAGTAGGAGATAGTGAAGCCCAGTGATTAAGAAAATAACTTTGGTTTTAAACCAAATTTGGAATTCTGGCTCTGGCATTTTCTAGTTGTGTGGCTGTGGGCGAATTAATCTCTGGACCTGTACTGTATAAGATAGTGACTAGCCACATGTGCTACTGAGCCCTTGAAACTTGAGTAACCCAAATTGAGATGTACTGTGAGTATAAAATACACACCCTATTTCGAAGAGTTAGCACATGTACATATACACACACGTATATGAAATATATAATTAATATTTTATACAAATTGCATGATGAAATGACAATATTTTGACTAACAGGTTAAATAAAATATTAAAATAATTTAACTTGCTTATTTTCAATATTTTAATGGGCTGCTAAAAAATTTAAAATTATATATGTGGCTTGAGTTATAATTTTGTTGTAGAGAGCTATCCTAAGAAGCTTCAATTTCTTCATCTAAAAATGGGGATAATAATCTTATTTAGCTTAAGTTTTAAATAAAATAATGCACCTCAAATGCTTAGCACAGTGCCTGACATTTAGTTTAAAAGTTGTCACTCTCCAAGAGTTAAGAAATAAAGATAAGTAAAAATACAAAACAAAAACTATAAACCTGAGTGGATTGGGGACTGCTCAAAGAGAATGCTTTAGTTACGAATTAGTTTTCTTTATCTCAAGTGAAACCATTCTACTTCTCTCTCTAAAAACAGGGGCAAACATACATGTATGGTGGTGGTGGGGAGGACAATATTTGTTACATACAAAATTAATAATGTGCATGGCAAGTGTTTTGAAGAGTTAAAAGTACTTTCTCAATTCCAAGCATTTTTACTATCCTAATTTGTGAGGCACTTTTACATTTAATTCATAGATATTTCTAGTGTTGGGGCATTCAAGTCACAAATGAAAATAAGGCTGAAACTGGTGCCGGTACACATAAGGCAAATTAATTTCTGCAGAAGATACAGAAACAGGAGAAAGCCTGGTAGTTTACTGTGCCTAGCTGATGACAGAAATGCATAGCTCAACTGGAGACACGAGAGGGTGCTATTAGTGAGAGCTTAGAAGGATGAATAAAGTCTTCCAACACCCTTCCCCCTCTCTACTGCTATAGATTATAAGAATTTGAAAAGGTCATACCTGTGAAATGAAACTAACACTTCTCCATTCCTTCCTGGACATGACTTGCAAGGTTTTTTGTAGTCCTGGGACAGGCCTTTACAACATT